CCCCAAAACCCCAAAACCCCACTCTTATATATTTAAAGAAAATTAGGATTTATTAATTTTTAATAGATTGAAATTAAAGAAATCATTAGAAGAGTAAATTCATAAATACAATCTGATCTAAGTTAGTATCATTTGTAAGTAACCCAGATAAAGTTAATTTGCCCTGTTTGATTTTTTCCTTGGAGTCCTCTCACAGCAGCTAGATAGCCATCTTCTGGAGCTACAGCTTCATAGTAAAAGCCACCACTACCACCATACCAATAGCGCTTACCAATATTTGTGACGAAGCCAATCCCATCTAGGCTATCTCCAGCTCTGAGGAAAATCTTGATAATTTTTTCTCCAGGAGCCAAAAAAATATATTTCGAGTCTCTTTAAAGTTCATCAGTCTAGATTCCATAGAAAAATTAAAGACTGTTAACCATTGAACCAGCTCTTATTTTTATCATGCTGATATCTCCATGCTTAATATAGAGATCTTCATCGTCGAAAGGATATAGTTCTTCATATGAGATGCCCTTGCCGAAATTTGCAGAATAAGACAGTACAGCTTTCTTTAAAGGCACAGGATCATAAGAAATGGAGGAATTCTTGTTGACGAAAAAATGCCATTTAGTTGATGGAAGAATCAAGATGTCAAGTTCTGTTATTACTACTTAGTTAGCTTCTTTCACAAGTATATCATATTGAACTTTAGCTCTTGACTCAGTGATGAAGTCTTATGATTCACTTCCAATAAAACTCTTCACTTTACCATTAACAAAGGTGTATAGATTAGTTTATTTAGCTATTTCTTAATTAACTAGAAGCTTATATCTTTAGGCAGTCAAGTTGTATAATGTTTCGTATAGATTTAAGGCATTTTTCTGGTAGGTTTCAATGTCATGTTGTAAAACTTTGCTTTAATTATCTTTGATAAGATTATAGGCAAACTCCCTTTAAAGAACTGTCAAGATTGTTCCAAATTAAGAGTAATGCGCAGCATAGCCTTAATAATAATACTATTCGATAGAGAGTGACAAGGTTTCATTGGCAATTTTTATAGCATTATAGAGATTAGAAACATGCTTTGATTTTAAATAATTTTCAATTTCTCGGCCGAGATATGTTCTATCACTCTGCAGCATTTCTAGTAGAGTAGCGTTTGCTGGAACTTAAAGCACGTTTTACATTCTTATCTAAGCATCGTCCCACAGATCATCTGCCAAAAGATTCTAAGGATCAAAGAAAGTATCATATATAGCTTGTACGCAATCTTTAATATCAAGTCTCAATAGCTTGTTAATAATGGTATCTAGGGATTAATCTTGAGAAGCAACTTTGGATAATGTAACAATTTTATCCTCAAAGCCTAAAACACTTTGCTATGAATCTGTTGAATAATTGATTGAAGTAACAGCAATCATAGAGATTGCAGCTATAAAACCGATAAATCCCTTAGTAAGCTTAGAATTTCTTGGGGTGTCCTGTCCTGGTTTGTAGATGAATTAATCATCCTTTTGAGTAGTTACTCTAATCATAGTATTTATAATTGTAAATATCTTTATAATTAAATCAAATAAACTTATTAATATCCAAAACAATAATAAATTTGTACTCTTGTAGATAATA